GTCTTGAAGCTAATTGGCTATATGTTTGTCTTTTAGTTTCTGATGTCCAGATTAAGCCATGCTTTTTTCTTTTTGATTATACAAACACACTAAATCTGCAGCAGACATTTTTTCCTATTCATATTTGAGTTTAATTTGGACAATCTGAGGCTAGGAATATGTTGAGAAAGTGAGTTTGAACTATAGTTACGCAGTAGTTTTCTTATTTCAGATTTCTAATGCCTGATATTTGAGCTTGTAAAGTTTGTTGTAAGTAATCTTTGTCTATACACCTTACTGAGTGGTCAGCATTCTCGCTTCTAACCTAGAAGGTACTGGGTTTGAATCCCCTGCATGTTTGCATGTTCCCACCCGTGTCTGTCGGTCAGTATCCCCTACCACTAAACATGTACAATAATAACTCTCCTCTCTCTGGGGCCAGGATTCCCCCGAAAAAAAGAGATTCTCAGTAGGACTCTCCTGGTAAATAAAGGTCAATAAACTGATAAATAACCGATATGATAATGAAGTGGGACCACCATACAGTAGGTGTTTTTAGTGGGACGGTAAACCTACTGAAAACAGGGAGAACATGCAAATTCCTCACAGAAAGGCCAGATCTGGAGGTGGAATCGAACCCAGAACCTTCTTGCTAACCACTGTGACCTTTTTCTTAAACACTAGCCTGACATCACAACTTGATGAAAACTACTGTGTGTTGCAGTAACTTTAACTTTCCTTCAATTATTTTCAGCATTTGGGCTCTTATGCACTGTATTCAATCAGACTAAAGACTAAATTGTAGTTCTATTGATGGATAATACATATATATACTTTGAATATTATATAAATTACTCCTCAAAAATTGGTAGTAAGTGGTGCTGTGTCATCATACATAAGTCTTGTGGAGTGAAGTGTGTACTTAAGTGCCCAAGGGGGTGACTAATGACCACCGTGGTGTGGAAGGTGGTGTTTTGGGGCAGTTTAGGGCTCCACTGATGAGTGGGTGAGAGGCAGATGATAATGTTGAACGTATGGGCAGATTACATAGTGTATATTATTTTAAAGCTCTGATTATGGAGGTGTGTTTTTCTTCCTCGGTCTCTGCACTGCACTCTTGCTGCAGCCACGCACACAGATGCTGCATCATTCCTGCAGGCGCATGCAGGAAAGACTCGTCATTAAAACAGAAGATATAGCACTTTGTGAAATGATTGTTGTCAGTTCCATTTTAATATATAGGATTGATCAAGGTATACTTTTCTGCGAACAGGACAGTTTGTTTCTTATTCCTTCACCATTGTTGGTTTTTGGTGTTGGTTGATTTTATACTTTAATACTTTAGTGCTGAGGAGTTACTTTGTAAAGTTATTGTTACATGTTTCTGTAAAGTGTGAACTGGTGAAGGAGCTAGACATCGAGTGTGTACAACAAACTCTGAGTGTGTACAACAAACTCTGAAGTATTTACAACCGAGTAGGAGCTAACCTATTCACAAGAACAGTTTCTTCCCCTCTGCTGTTGGACTCTTGAACACTTCTTAACCTGTCCCCCCGCCCTTTATAAAGTCACTTTACTGCCCATCATACGTCACTTTACGTCACTTTACTTCACTGTACTGCTGTCACCTTACATTGTGTGCACCATGTGCACTTGTATATTGTAAATAGTAACTGTAACTCTATTTTAAATTTAAATTTATTCTTTAGAAGTGTTTTTTTTATTCTTATTTTTATTATCTCTTTCTGACTGTTGCACTGAGCCAAAGCAATTTCCAAGTCTGTGACCTCCTGTTACTTACGTGGCAATAAAAATGATTCTGATTCTGATTTGTTTGCCGATTTAATCAGACAATTCTCATGTCTTGCAAGACTTTGGTAATTGTCTGAGATTTCACAAATATGCTGATTAATTTTGGATCATTAGAAGTCACTGCCTCCATTCTGCCAACATTTAATTTAGTCAAATATTATCACTGCAAATGGTGTGAAACAATCCATTATTCTATTATTGAGGACTGTGAAAGTCTGCAGAAGATTATGCTCGTCCGAAGAAGAGATAAGTTGAGTTTGTAAAGCGCTTTGTTTGACCCTGGACTGTGAAAATGCAGTATATAAACAAAGATTACTTACTAACTTACTTGCAATAACACTGTTTTCCATTTAACATCAGCTTCTATCAATATACGTATCATTGTAAAGCTTAGTTTATTTCAGTACAGACTGGGAAAATAAGTTATCGTTCAGATGTCTTCAGCGCCACCAAGTCAACATATTTGTGTCATACCTCATTTTAAAATTCTTAACTGCCAGAATCTAGTTGGTAAACTTGAACAGAACACCAATACATCAGGCCAAACAAATGGTAGTCAGCACAACAGAAAATCTGATTTAATAATATGTCACCAATTATTTGTTGTATCTATTTACAATTTCATAGTGAAAGTTAGGGCTGGGCGATTAATCGATTTTAATCATTAATTCGAGTTTTACGTTTAGGGCGATTTCTTTTTTTAAAAATTTGATTTTTATTTTCTCCAGCGCAGAACTACAGCGCTAACCGCGGGTCTATGGTGTTGAGCAGTCATTTTGAAGCTAACCTAATGCTAACAGTCTCCCTCTGGCCTGATGCTCGCTCTCACAGTTGGTGCTGTTGCAATAACACTTCAAACGTTCAAGAATCAGACTTTATTTAATCGCCAAAACACACACACACACGCACGCAGGCTTCGGTCGCTATGTTCGTACGCCATGTTCCTACGCCACATCTTTCACGCTCTCTCAGGTCTGTTTCACACCGCACACGAATTCGTGAACAAATTCGTCTTCGAAACCCGCTCGCGTGCATTCGCAAGCTGCGCTTCAAGTCGCGTCCTGTTGTGCAAATGAGAAAGCTCTTCTGTGTACAGACCGGCGCTGAGGCGGCGCGCAAGGAATCGGCGCGCGCCGCTGCCGCCTCCGCTCCTGAAACCAAAAATGGAACTTGAGCGCATTTTTTCCGCGTGTAGGCTGCGCAGCAAAGCGGCTTTCAGCACGAAAATATTAAAAAAATAACTTTTATAAAGCAATTTCACGTTTATCTAATCTCATTATTGTAATGCATAAGTACATATAAGTTTATTCTTTTAATTACACAATTTTCCATGTCATACTTTTTTTGTATGCATAAAATATAATTGTAACATATATTATATATATAATATATATATTATAATTATAACTTAACCTTAACCCCCATGGAGATCCAGGCCGCCCCCACGCCTGCACATAGCCCCCCTGGAGATCCAGGCCTTCCCCACACCTTATAATTAACTATGATAATGAAACGACAATCAAAATAGGCTATAAGATACATTCTAAGGAAATGTTAGCAATTTATTTAAGGTCTACATGTGCTATTTTGATTTCTGACCTGTTATTTCAGACAACATATGTAAATATACAACATGTTTATTAGTTTGGAGTACAATACTACTCCTTTTGTGCGTGCTACTCGTCTAGGCGCTTCGCCCACGCTCGGCGTCAGTCTGAATACATGCGCTCGCCGCGAGGTAGTTCGGCTGGAAAGGGCGCTCGGCTCTGCGCTCGGCGTGCGGTGTGAAACAGGCCTCACGCTCGTTATTCCAAAGCACACTCCCGTGTCCGTGGCGCGCACACACTCGTGTCCCACTGAGCCGCTGCACTTTGGGGAAAGACACGTCTCACACATTGCTCTCATTGCTCTGATACAAACAACGTGTTCCCTACATCCAGCGTGTTCCCCGCTGTCTGCTAGCTACAGTAGCTGCTACAGTAGCTGTTAGCTACAGTAGCTGCTACAGTAGCTGTTAGCTACAGCATCAGAATGTAAACAGGAAGCTCGCACAATGCGGGAGTCACTGAAGTTAGTATTAGCGCCACCAGCTGGACCGAGCGTTGTACTACAGCACAGTTACTCAGGCACAGTTGAAAGAACAAGCATGAAAACCCGAGGAGGCTTTTGGAAAAGACTGTCTGTTACAACATTTCTATTTTGAGTAATCAGTTTTAAAAATGTGATATGTCATGTAAATAATGCATGTGTTTAATAGGATTGATATATTTGCGATGGGCCTTGTTTGTGTGATTTAAGTTATTTTGAAGGTGCATAGTGTCATTGTAAGTGAAGTTATTATAAAACTGTTAAGCTACATTTTCACTGTTTACAATGGCAGAGCCATCTCGTTTACAAGCATGTTTTAAGGCTTAATTCCTGTTACACTTATGCTCCATGGGGATTTAGATTAAACTGCATAAAGGAAAATCTATTTCTTTGTCAGTTGTAGTTTGTTTTTAAATAGAAAAAAATAAATCGATTTTTGTTTTTTTTTTGCCATATCGCCCAGCCCTAGTGAAAGTCAATAGGCCTTTTTGTTTCTTTTGTGTTTTTCTGTAAAGGTCATAACGGTTAAGAAACCCCATTACAGCGTAGTCGACTAACTTTTAACACTGTGAATAACAGCTGTCAGAGTGTCTAATCCTGTGCAGGAGGTTAGAAGAGCAGCTAAATACTTTGCTTGGATGCTCTCTAATGACCTGGCCTGGAATCATCGCAGATTGTTCACTCAATCTGTAAAGCCACAGTCCCTCTTCACTGATGGTCCACTCACACTGGTCCTGTATGCTCTTTAACTACCAAAACAGGAAGGCACACATTGTTTTGGAGCTTAACGGCTTTTAAGTCAATGGTTGGATTCTTTTCTATGCCACAAACGCTTCGCAGTCTTGCCTTTCACTCATTAATTATTTTAAGGCGGTAAGCGTTGGCCAACTCCTGCAGCTCTGAGTAAGGCTACTGAAGGGATAAATAAATATCACCAAATTTCAAAGTAAAATGTATTTTCTGTCTGACTTAAGTGCTATTTTTTATATATTAAAGATAACTGTGTTTGAGACATTGCTCAGTTGTAATTGACGTACTGTACTTGTCGTACAAAGAGGCGATGTTTTTTAGTGTAAAGTAGTTTTCTGTGACTGACAGATTCTTTCGGTCTTATGTTGCAGAGTGCAGCGATGGAGGAAACGGTGATCTGGGAACAGCACACGGTGACTCTTCACAGGGTAAGTGTGTACTACGATTTCGTTCTCTCCATCACTTTGTTCCTGGAGCTGTGCGTCTTCACTTCTCCGTACCGACCCGCCTCTCGTCTCTGAGCGACCAGCTGCATTGACAGGATGTACGTCTAGGGAACAATGGTTGGAGAATCCAGATGGCAGGAAACAAAGCTAAGGAACATCAGCGCCGGCTTCCTTACCACTTCTTGTCACTTCCTTCCTATTGGCATCACATTCCTCTAAATAAAACTGTAGTAATGCAAGGAATTGTTGTCTGAAGTCAGTTCACTTAATAAGTCATAACCACAGTACCTGAATGAGCAGACACACACACGCATGCTATCACATTACGTTAAGATCCATTCATGTAAAGAAGGTTCTCAATAATTGGTCTGACTGTCTTATGGCCTTGTTTACCATGAGATGGTAAACTCTAATTAGTTGATTCCATTGTCCTGTGGGACTGAGCAGGACACCTTTCTAGACTGGCCTGCCTGCTGTAATCTAGTTAGTGGCTTTGAGACAGTAGAAGTGCCCCAGTGCGGCCTTCACTTCTCAGCTCTGGTGTTGTTGTGGTTATAAGATTACATCACATGACGCCCTCGCTTGGTCAGGCTCTCTGCACGGGTAAAAAGAGAGCTTTCTTCTAAACCACAATAATAAGTACTGCTCAATATGAACAAACAGCACTTGTATATTACTGCTCTATCTGAATGTTTTTTGTGAACAGGCACCTGGATTTGGGTTTGGTATTGCCATTTCTGGCGGTAGAGACAACCCTCATTTTCAAAGTGGTGAGACGTCCATAGTCATTTCCGATGTCTTAAAAGGAGGCCCCGCTGAAGGACTGCTACTGTAAGACTTCAGCCATATTTCTGTTGTTGATGACAGCCATGTAATCAACATGAAATGTTAATGATTATTTTAATAGGGAAAATGATCGTGTGGTAATGGTGAATGCTGTTTCGATGGATAATGTAGAACATTCCTATGCTGTACAACAGCTTCGAAAGAGTGGGAAGAATGCAAAAATAGTGAGTTCAATAAATTGTAGAAACTTTTTGATTTGAGCACATGTTTCTTATCAACCAAATGCTCTCAGACGATCAGAAGGAAGAGGAAAGTGCAGATCCCCGTGTCGCGGACAGGAGACAGGGAGACTATGTCAGAGCACGAGGAAGACTCCGATGAAGAAGCCTATGACCAGCGTGATGGTCCAAGTGCCTACGGCGCCAGTGGAGGCACAGGGCGGCGGCCCGAGCGCAGACGGGACCGTAGTGCGTCCAGAGAGCGCAGTGTCTCCCCGCGCTCTGACCGCAGGTCCCAGGCCTCCTCTGCCCCTCCCCGCCCCGGGAAAGTCACCCTCGTCAAGTCACGCAAAAACGAAGGTGAGCAGCAGGACAATGTGAGTCTTTTACTAACTGTTTATTAAGTTATTAACTTCCCTTTCCGTTCACCAGAATATGGACTACGGTTAGCAAGTCACATTTTTGTGAAGGATATTTCTCCTGAGAGCCTTGCAGCTAGAGATGGGCACATACAGGAGGGAGATGTCGTACTGAAGGTACCAGAAAACAGCATCACTTCTTCAGATGATGATTACTTTTTCCAAAGTTTCATGAACACAGTCAAAATGAAACTGCTCTTATTCCTGTCCATTATAGATAAATGGCACAGTTACAGAGAACTTATCGCTGATAGATGCCAAGAAGCTCATTGAGAGGTCAAAAGGTAAACTGAAGATGGTGGTTCAGCGAGACGACAGAGCCACTCTGCTCAACATTCCCGACCTGGACGACAGCATCCCGTCAGCAAACAACTCCGATAGAGATGGTATAGAGGCTCCAATTGTTCTTTTGTGTTTTTGCCATAATTCTTTATTTAATTACACAATTTTCTGTAATATTTTATCACTTCTGACAGACATTTCAGAAATCCACTCAATAACGTCAGACCATTCCAATCGATCTCCGGGAAGAGGTCGTTCTCGCTCCCCTGACAGACCGGAGCCATCAGACCCCCTCCGCCTCTCGCCTCGACCCATCAGCAACGGCAGGTAAATGAAAAGCCCCCGTGCACATGTGATTCTAATCCGTCACACGCGCCACACGATCGTCCATCTATCTCCCACTGCGCCGCTCTCCCACATCACTCACCCTGCAGGTTAGAGGCTGCTGACTAAGTAACCTGCTGCTTTAATGCATAAATCTATAGGTAGAAAACATAAACTATCACACGCTACCTTAGCCTACCAAGTTCCAGTGATGCACGGCACGAACACCATGGCGGCCTCCGTTATCACATATATTAATCATATCCCGTTCATTGAAAAGTTGTGCATTTGGGAATTTCATACAAAACATCTTATCCAGTTCAGGTCCTGGTATGTCGAGTTTTTTCACATTTCCATCTTTTGCTGGCCTAACTGGAATTGCACAATTGGTGGCTGACTAAATCCTTTTTGGCCCCACTTTATATTGTGATCTATAACAGGAAAGTTCCTTCTCATATTGTGATAGAAGTTTCTGGCTATATCTCCCAGCCTTAGTAATATCTCATGTCCGCAACTTATTAGTCCCAAGCCAAACTCTTTTCTCTCTAATTTGTGACCAAGGGTTCATCTCCACTGTGTAACATTACAGAAAGTTTGACTATCAGTTTAGGAAGCAAAGAGAAGAATTTGACATACTTCCCACAGTGCTCTGTCCTGGGCCGTTTGGTTCGCTGCACCTGATTGGTTGATGGGCGCGGACACATTCTTTTCTACTGTTCTCGATGCTTCAGTGTTTTTATTAGAGGCGGTCAAAAGAACTATTCATACAAACTGTCTCTGAGTGAGAATGAGCTTAACTTCAGACTAGACGGGACTATTTTCATGCAGCATGGTTCAGATTATCGAAAAAGTTGTGTGAGTATTCTATTTACTTCCATTATCAAATGTATCTCCTCACAATTAGTCATTTTCGTGATTGTAGGCTGCGCTCGTCTCTCATACTCTGCTTGTTATTAATCCGCACTCATAATATTGAAAGCTAAGAAAAGTTTCAGCCTCAGTTTGCAGAATAGCGGCATCATTTGTTCTTGTCATAGTTCCTGGCTGCGTTTAAGTCGAGCCTTCTGCTGGCTCCTCCTCTTTCTCTGCTTTACTCTGAGATAGTGAAGGCACTGGGGACCTGTCACAAACTCCTGAGGCCTTTTGAGCAGTGTTCTGCAGGAGCGAAACGGCACAGTCAGGAATCGCACTATATACGGATTCTCTGGCTCGACCTCAGTCCTTCGCATCTCCCTGACACTCACTCATTGCACTGTGGCTGCTTAGAAGCTTAGAAGGACAGCTAACTTTGTGGACCAATAATGTGAATTGTAATCAATAGGTAGAAATATGTAATCAATTGTGCAGTCTCTAACTAGCAGCCATTAAAGATGAACTAATTCTGTTTTTTTAATAAAAGTAAATCTAACAATGTCTTCTATTTAGCTACAAAGTCTATTCTGTTTTTCAATTACGACTAGGCAATCATTGACTAGTTGACAAGTTATTGTTACTGAAGCTAAGTGCATGATTCATTTTGCAGTTTTCATTAGTGCTGTATAAAACCCTTTGTAATCTTAGACACTTGATCCAAAAAAAATCTCTCGAGTGCCAAAATATGATAGCCATGAAAAGTGCAGTTGTATTAAAAATGAGAATATTCTGATGAAATGCAGCTTTCCTAAACAGAATAAACAGCATCTAATTTAGTTTGACCACGTTCTTTATTCCTCTACGTACTCTATTACTCATGATTGAATTTCAGATGTAGATGTAGATCTGTATTTCTATAGTTCATTTGCTAATATCCATTTTGAAAAATTGCCACAAAGTTCTTTTCCTCTGGCTCCAATCTTCAACATGTTCTGCTATTAGTAGTGGTACATTTTATATAAAGTTTCACCCCTTCTTGAGCCAATCCTTTGTTATTTGGCTCGAAAAATATATCTGCCGTTTACAAAAAACGACTTGGTAAAAGGCAAATTATAAGCTATTTTTATATTCTATGTTACTTGGGGAACTTACCTGTGTTTTCAAGTGAACTATGGATTTGTTTTAAAGTTTTTTTGTTTATTTTAAAGTGTAGTGTCGGATTATGTAGTGTTATCTTTTGCATCAAGTCAAACAATCCCTATGGTCTTGCCCGAGTGGCACAGCACCTTCACGTTTGTGCACAAAAGTCTCAAAGCCGCTCTGGGCCAGCAGCGTCATGTGACACAACTGGAATCCAACAATTGTTTTAAGCGGCACTGAGCCTTCTCCCCTGAAAGGCTTATTAGAAATTCACCCAAGCGCGCACTCTGGTTCTTACTGTTTACTTTAGCCAGGTTAAACAGGAACTGTGAAAAGAATCCTCTCGCACAGTTTATGTTGGACAAAGCCGAATTTGAGGTTTTTCCTAATAAAAATTGCTTTACTCTCAGATCTCTATATATGTGGGTAAGAAAACAGTATTTGTTAGATGTTGTCTTGAAATGTGCACTTCTGTAACAACACATACCGAGTTCATTCCTTCCCGTTTTGGTTGCAGGCAGAACACACTAGAAGGAAAAATATACATGGAATAATTTGTGTTGCGTGTTTTGGAGCATTTCTGCAGTTTAAAGATTCATGTGGTAAAATTGTTAGTTTTGCTTTTTGTCTGTTCTACTTACTTGATTCCAATTATAGGAACCATTTGATGTCCTGTTTATTTTGAGAACCACTTCATCAGTCGTTTGTGCTTTGATTTGTCATTGTGTGCGTGTCGTGTGCGTGCTGAATGTGTTGTTGTACTTTTCAGCCACAGGAGTCGAGATGAGGAGCGTGTATCTAAACCAGGGCTGATGTCCACGCCTGTCAAAAGCTCCGATGATGGCGCCCTGTCCCAGACCAGTGACCAGACCAGTGACCAGGCCAGCTCCAGCGGCTTACCTCCCCTCCCTGGTATACTACTATTTCATTCATCTTTGGTCATATGCAGAAAGATAAAGTCCTGTTAATGACAGTAATAATCTCACTGACGTAATGAAATGAGGGGAAAGGAAGTTCTATGTATTCCTTCGGCTGTCAAACTGTACACCAGACCTGGATGAGTCTCCTGCTGCTGGATACCTGAGTTTCTCCCACGGGGGATCAATAAAGTATATATCTATCTATATAGCACAGTTCATACTTGAGTCAACTCAAAGTGCTTAACAAAACGAGTACAGAAACGTTAAAATCAAATCAGATAATCACAGTGCATTGAAATGAGTGGATTTTTTATGCACAGCTAAAGAGAACCTCTTTCAACTGGATTCAACGTTATCAGGGAAGAAGCCTGTCTCACATTTTCAAAGAGATTTTAGATTGGATTTTAGCTGCATGAATCTGAAACGCCGCCTCCCCATGTTTAGTGTTCACTTCGGGCACCAGCATGAGGCCCTCAGAGTTGCTTCAAAACAAAGTTACAAAGTTTACATTTGATCTATGTGTTTTAATATGAAAAACATTTTGCAAAGTTCAATATTTGCCTTTGTGTTTTGACAGAACCAAAGCCGGTGTATGCACAGCCTGGTCAGCCTGATGTCGACCTCCCCGTCAGTCCCACAGACGCCCCGGTCCCCAGCGCTGCCCATGACGACAGTATTCTCAGGTTTGTGACCCGGAATTGTCTTTTATTTTCTCCATTGGCAAGTCTATTTTCTAATGAGTTGTAGATGAATAGAAAGTGAATGTTCCGTCTTATTTTTGAAGCAGAAGCTGAAGTGATGCTACTTAAGTAACTGAATTGCTTGTGGAATGTTTAATCTATAGCTCTCTTTGTGCCATCGGACGTCTTCTCGCAGCACATGGCGTGTTTTGTAATCTGTGTATAATTTAGATCAGTCTTTGTTATCAAAAGAGCCATTCATCCCCCTCTTCATTCCGCCAACAAGGAATAATAGAGCTTCAAAATACACTTTTACATTTTATATATGCGCCACAATACCACAAGCAGAAATTACACATGAAAAAGGGACATTTACAAAAAAACATGAATAAATGCTGGAAAAGATAAACACTAATAATAGGGAAAAATAAATAAGATACACAAGTAAAAAAAACAACAGCTTTTTTCAATGTGAGTAACGCAAACAAATACAGTATAAAAAAAATATAGAAAAAGGATAAAAAAACATGAATAACTGACAAATAATAAAATCCAAATAAAATCATGATTGGGTGCAATGGAGATTATCATGAAATTGTTGGATCGTAATTATGATAAGGCACCACTACAAGGCATTTTTGCAAACACAATCTATAGAAATATTATAAAAACATATTTCGTAAAGACCAAAGGAGTCATAACCAGGAGACTGAAGAGTAAGTAAGTAAGTAAGCTTTATTTATATACCGCCTTTCACAGACCAGAGTCACAAAGCGGTTTACAATTGTTAGCTGCATGTGGCTTGAAGTTTTCTAGATTACATTATACATTAAGCTATAATCTTTACAAACTAATATAGTATATGCATTAGTGCTGTTTATTGTTGAGCATTATTTAATACTCTTTCCGATATTTATCAAAATCTCAAAGACCTAATTTTGTTCTTAAATTGCTTTAATACCAGTTCGGATTTGTTTTTCTGTTCTATGTGGTTTTGCACTTACATAATGTCTCTCTCTGGTGGTTCCTTGTGTCCACAGGCCGAGTATGAAGCTGGTGAAGTTCAAGAAGGGAGAGAGCGTTGGTCTGAGACTCGCTGGAGGTAACGACGTGGGGATCTTTGTAGCAGGAGTTCTGGAAGACAGTCCCGCCGCCAAAGAGGGACTGGAGGAGGGAGACCAAATCCTCAGGGTAAACGCCAAACTGTGTTAGTCTGAAAAGTGAACACCTGATTCAACATTTGTTTTTGAAGTCGGAACAAAAGCGATGTATTTGCTGAATGTGGCAAGAGCATAACATTAAAAACATGAAAAACATCATTCTCAAACTATTTTAGGAATCTTAATGACTCACTTTGATATGTGTTTATTCATTTATAAATTTAGAAGCCAGAGAAGAGGTCTAATATGATTTCCCCTTTAAGATGCATGAAGCACAGGTAGACTGAAGTGGTAACGGGGTAATCAAAATTTCTCTCTATTTTAGTGAATGACTAAACATAAACTGTTCTTTTTATAGTCCAACACATGTAAATGCTGTGCGATGTGATAATAGGAGCAGAACTGGCAATTAAAGTGGACATATCGTGTTTTCAAATAATTTATTTTTACATCTAAATCATTAATTTTTGGCCTATATAAAGCGTAACTGCAATGCCTGGGTCTGAGTCTCATTATTTGTATCTCCACGGGCCTTTCTTCTACACCTGTCCTGAGGTGCGTCTGAGAGCAATCTGTTTTGGTGCTATCTCTTTAAATGCAAATGAGGTGCTTTTGACCACGCCCCCATTCAGGTGACACAAGTTCAACTCCACCCCGAGCGGCCATTTTTGTAGTTTCTAAGCACAGATACAATTATCTCATAGAAACTTCTCATTACATCGCAAACATGAAGCAGTCCTTCCTCATTGACTGAAAGCAAATGTTAATTTTCATTCTTAGTCCAGTCTTATTATCGACTCTTCTCTTTTTAGCTTTGGGATCCATGCGCACAGTCTATGATGCTCACACGCCGGTTTGCTTACAACAGCGGCCGCCTGGCGCGGGCCTACGTCGCAGGATATGACGCACTACGTTGACAGAAATGTTTACATTGAATATTACTTATGCATAATTTTACAGCATTTAAAAACGTTAAGAACGTTTTTCCTTCTACAGAAGGAAAGAGACTTATGCGCCTCCTGAGCAGCAGGTTGCCGACTCCTAGTTTATACAGTATGTGGAAGCAAATACTGTAGAGGATCAGGATATGTGCAGTTTCAACAATAAAATAAAATGCAATAGTCTACATTACAAGACAGTAATAAACATGTCTCAGAGTGAGGGAGGTGGACACAGACAACACTATTGTTTGTTACAGGGATGAGAATTGGTCAAAAAAGACTGAAATGCATATTGTCAGCCATTTGCTGGCTCTAAATCTGTTTAATTTGTTAACAACATATTACTTTTGGTCTCAGACATGAACTTTTAATGCAATGCAAAATGTAGGTATCAGAGCTTTATTTAGGGCGTTTAATCGCGCTTCGAGAGGAGAGGGAGACGCGGACTGTTTCCTGCAGCAGTGTATTTATTGGGTGCACAGATTACTCAAAGACACGCGTGGTCCTGTGCGCGTTTATAGGGTTGGGTACATGGCCACGTTGAGGCTGCGCGCTCAGCCGCAACAAGGTGGAGCGGCTGCGAGCGGCTGGACGCTCACAGCCTCTCGCAGCCGCTGGACGCGGAAGCTGCTCATTACAAAGCGGCCGCAGATGCCCCGGAACACTGCGGCCGCTGAGGTGGCGGAATCCCGTTCGAGTACATACAGCAGGTGCCCGCGGATACGCGCGCCCCGCTTGAACAATTCTCAACGGATTTACACTTCTCATAAACATGTGTTTTGTATGAGGCAGACAGACCGGCCCAAATATGGGCATCGCCCTTTGGGCATTGCCTGGTACGCCCGATGGCCAGTCCAGCCCTGTGCGCTGGCATCCTTGAGCTTGGACTACAAATTCAAAGTGATGCATAGAAGAGGAGGGCTGGGCCGAAGTGTTTTGTTAGACGCCCATGCCCTTATATAGCAGTCTCGCTGCAAATACTGTGACGTAATAATTCTAAACACGTAATAGAGAATGGCAAAATCAGAACGGGTTGAAAAATCTTACCTAAACAGAATATGAAGTGTTCTCTGCAACCCATGAAGAGACTGATTTCAACTTTTTTGCACTTCTAGAGGCTCCAACTACACAACATAAGGCATTTAAGGCACAAAAAGTGGATTTTTCATGATATGTCCCCTTTAAATCAACAAGAAATAAGAAATGCATATTCATTAGTAATGATATAGTTGTATCTGGAAATCTTAATGTATTGAATATTAGAATAACTTCTGTCACTCTTTCTGTGTCAAGTTTGGACAGATGTCACGTGTCTGAATTCTGAACAACCAATTATCAAAATATTAGTTTTCTTACAGCTTTAAATGGATCTTACATCTGATATCTGTTCAGACACAAAACAAATGTATTACAAACATTACCACAGCCTCTTTCTTCTGTGTCCTAAGTGCTACATATCTGGCATAATTTACCCACTGTTGTCCTGAAAGACTTCTGTGTTCTTGCTCCTTGTGTTTGTAATCTACTTACATGTAAAATGACTTATGGATAGACGCTACAACACATTTGTCAGTGTGACTCATCCTGAGGCGTCAAAACTCTCCTTGTTTTCTGCATGAGCACACAATGGCGCTGGTTATCGCACCGTGACCTCCGCACAGTCGTCCTCTGTCAAACCAAACACTAGAGAAACTTTGTTGTTGGATGATGCAAACTCTTGATGTCATCTTTGGATCGCCGGGCTTGTTTACAGAGCTGCACGATGACAACTCCAACGCAGAATGAAATAACTGTGATCTATGTATCTGCAGAACTCATTTAGATAACACCGTGGCCATTTTTCTCCTTAGACAATTAGCTGTAATTTATGAGAAAAAGAATGAGATTTCATAATAATAACACACATAATTATAAACTTGGAGCTCAGGCTGTGGCATCATTTAAAACGTCTAAAACACTTTTATAAGTAACGTCTAATATTTACATATTATATATATACTATATATAGTATATTATTGTTGTACACACTATTACGTATCTAGTTTTGTTTTAGTTTTTGTCTACTGCATTTTGTCTGATCTTAACTTGTTTTCTGAGGCCCTGTCCACACGAAGTCAAGCTCAGGCCTAAACGCAAAAATACTTTATCAATCCAGTGTATCGTCCATACGAGGCCGGCGTTTTGGGGGGGTGTAAACGAACATTTTTGAAACCAGGTCCCAGAGTGGAAAGATTTCAAAACTCCGTATATGCCGCTCCGTGGTTACTGCCTCTCCGCAATGTATCTGAGACGCTTGCGTCATCGCCCCGCCTCTTGTTAAAGCACGCATGCGCCGCACTCAGAAAATAATGACAACAACAATGTAGCTTGTTGGTTTTGTAATCCAGTGTGACCCGAAGCAACAGTTCAACCTCATCGTCCGCCCATACTAATGTAGTACCAGCTCGCCCACTCGCCATGTTGTCTGTTTACAAAATTCCTCGCATGCCCACGGAAGTTTGGGCTTGATCCCGTCATTGCGTCACAGCGCCACCAACAGGTCTGGAATAGTTTCACAGCGTTTTCAGGCGTATTGACTACATTCATATGGACGCACACATTTACTGAGCTAACTCCGTGTTTACAGAAAAAGTTTCTGAAATTATAAGCGTTTTGTCTTTGTGTGGATATAGCCTGAGGTTGTGTGAAGCAACTTTTTGAAAGGTTTTGAAAGGTGCTATACAAATAAGATGTATTGCTATTATTACTAGTTCAGATATTGATCAAAATCCTTCTTAACTTTTCAAGAAATAGCTTATTTTGTCCTGTTGCTGCGATATAGTTGTATAATAATTGCTCAAATGTACAGTTTCTTTACTTTTGGTACTAGTTTTACTCAATTTGATCATGTTTGATTTCTGACACTTGCACGTACTTTTTAAAACCTTTACTAGTATTCATGTTGACGTTGTTGTGCATATTCTAGTGGCTGGTTTGTTTCTGAATGAATAACTCCAGCCTGGGTGTGTCCTCCTCACTGTATAAACAATCTGTCTTTTAGCAAATGCGTGTTCACCGAGATAAAGACTTGAATTTTTCTGATTTCTGGGAAGGATAAAGGTGTCTCTGTGAGGTGCAGCCATGTGGTTCGAGTTCGTCCGTTTCCCCTGGAGCAGAGTCAATAAACAGTCGTTATTGTGTTTGGGGTTTCAGCAGGAGAAGCGGAGGAGGCAATAAAGAATGTGCACTTCTTGTCTCTCACTTCAGGAATTAGTTTTTGTGATTCACTTGCATTAAATATGTTGAAGTGGGATAGTACAGTGTAGCAGTAGTTTTGAGTAGTGGTTATTTTGTTTTGTCGTGTTGCTGTTAGTTTCTTTCACAGTCATTCAGCAAGAAAAGTGTTGTTCTTGTTGCTCAAAGGTGAATTTCTCAACTGTCCTGCTGGGGACCTGCTTTTTGCTTTTTGCTTTTGGGTTCATCATTTTTTTTCCTGGATATTTATACAGTTTGTCCTTTAAACTTTCCTTTTACAATAAAAACTCACTAAAATCATGAGGAAGGAATGTTACATGTGTAACCCCTATCCCATATATATATAGTGGAATGGTAGTAACAAAAGAGTCTGTAGGCTAGGACTGAAGATCTAGAGTTCGCTCTGGGAGGTGAGTCAGTAATCAACAAACAGTGGCTCTAGTCTGCAAGTTTGTGTATTATTACATATTTACATATTTACAGTCATGACATCTCAAATTCTCAAATACAACGCTGCGCAGAATTCTTCATTTCATTCGCTCACAAGTCCAAAAAAAAACCCCGAACCCAACTCAACTTCCCAAAGTCCAAACAATAGCCAGGGCTACTGTAAAAGTGTGTCCATTGAGCTCGTATTGCTCAAGAGTTCATATGAACCAGAGTGCATGGGGGTAAAGGGCCGATCTCCTACCGCATTGGTGGGGTACTTGCAGCAGTAGTTCTTGTCTGGGCTCAGCTTGCCATCAATAGTGATTCGATTCGACTCGATATCACAGCACAGAAAAGACCTGGCCAGTTCGAGGTGAACAATCCAGCCTGTCACTCACTCGGAACGGCTCGATCGCGTAGACTACTGCTGCAGCCCTAAACGCAGCCTCCCCCATGCCTCCCTGTACAAGCGACCCGCCATCTTTAAAACCCCAAGTCACATGACCCACGTGATCCCAAACTCCCTGGAGCCGGCGCCAGACCCAATGGAAATTTAGTTTTAATAATAATAATAATAATTTATAAAAATACATTATATTTGATATGTGATAATATTTATATTATAAATAAAAAATATTTATATTATATTTAATGGGTTACACATGGTTTAAGTCAGAATTTTACTTTTCAAGCAAAGCATTAACATATCTATGGGAAGGCATTTAGCTTTAATGATAATAACAATAATAATATTACATTTTTCTTGACGCTTTTTCTGACACTCAAGGATACTTTAAAATATTATATTAACTGTGTCTCTCCTTTGTTACTTCTTGTTTCTATAGGTCAACAATGTGGACTTTGCCAACATTATTAGAGAAGAGGCTGTGCTGTTTCTGCTGGATCTCCCGAGAGGAGACGAAGTCACAATTCTGGCCCAGAAGAAAAAGGATGGTTCGTTATTGTCTTGCTCATAAACACTACATCTGTTACTTTAAAATATTAAACTTGATATTGTCTCTGCACCCCAGTGTATCGGAGGATAGTGGAGTCAGATGTGGGCGATTCTTTCTACATTCGCACACATTTTGAATATGAGAAGGAGTCCCCTTACGGCCTGAGCTTCAATAAAGGAGAGGTCTTCCGGGTGGTGGACACTTTGTATAACGGTAAACTGGGATCCTGGCTCGCCATCCGCATCGGAAAGAACCACCAGGAAGTAGAACGAGGCATCATTCCGAACAAGAACCGGTGACTATCTTAAAAACATCATTTAAATTTTAACAAAAACAGATTTCTCTGCAAATTCATTAGTGCTATGGAAGCTTTATCTTTTTTTAGGGCTGTTTAGTCTTTAAGCCGATTCTTTGGTCGATGGTTCCTCATTCAACCAAAAGTTGTATTGGTTGATGATTTTGAAGATGTTGGTTTTTGTTTATTTTTAATTGTTAATTGTTTAATAGTTGTTCTTTTTTTTTTTCTTCAAGTTTTCTGAGTCAGTTTGGGTTGGCAGTAATATCTTTTGCCACAGGTTGAGTCGGCTACAGCCCTGGTAGTGTGCTGTAATAATAAGAAAGTTAATAAGCTTTTAATCAAATGTATTGTACTTCTGCAAGTTCATACAAATGACAGCTGTTTTGTGAAATTGTGATTGTCTGTTTCTGCTTGTTCTGCCAGCGCTGAACAGCTGTCCAGTGTCCAGTACACTCTGCCCAAAACAGCAGGAGGCGACAGGGCCGACTTCTGGAGATTTCGTGGGTTGAGAAGTTCCAAAAGAAACTTGCGCAAAAGCAGAGAAGACCTGTCGGCCCAGCCTGTTCAGACCAAGTTTCCTGCGTACGAGAGAGTAGTGCTCAGGGAAGGTACGTGCATTTAGTGTCCTCCTAAAGTACAGACATGATCTTGTTGTGATGAAGCGTTAAATTAGATGTATGAATGTCTTGTTTTCTTGTGACAGCTGGTTTCCTCCGGCCTGTGGTCCTTTTTGGGCCCATTGCAGATGTGGCCAGAGAGAAATTGGCCCGAGAAGAACCAGAGGCGTTTGAACTAGCGAGTGAGTCTCATTATCTGCTATTGACATGATGTCTGAATAATTAACATTGTGCAATTGTAAATATGATGTGTAAAAGGATGTAAAAAAGGAAACCTTAAGGCTATTTACCTCAGCTCAGTGTTTGAGTAATTATATTGTCTTTTCAGAAACACAGCAACAACAAGGAGGGGAAAGTATGTCACATAGTGCATCAGCCTGTGTGCTTTTTATATTTATTATTTTCTTCATTTAGTGAATGGCTGAATGCCTGGTGTATGCACAGAGAGGGATACCACTATCTTTAATCCTAATATTTGTATTAACATGCATGGCTATCAAACTAAATCATTTTCTTCATGTATTATTTAATATATTAATTGAATCATCAAATTAACTTTTACATGAAGCAGGAGTGACTTTTTAGCAAATCCCTGTTGTCTTGAGTCGGAAGAGTTTAAATTTAATGGTATTCCTCCTCTTTTTGAGGTTGCACAATGCAGCATGCAACCCTGTGTGCGGCAGCAGTTTTATGTCTCTACGTATTGGTGGCAAAGGAGCGATATGTTCCAATGATTTTAGTGGGATATGAGTAGTAGAGTAAGTAGATAGTGTGTGTGTGTGCCCCTCTTAAAATCCTTAGTCAACACAAGTGAATAGTCCCAGCACATTTGGTGGATTTTCAAAACAAAGCTTGTTTGTGTATATTTTTTCCTTCCTTCAACCGCTTAAGAAGATAGTAAGTTTGTCAAATATGCATGGCAACATTACATGCTCTCGAGTCTAAAGGTCAGCCAGTAAATGTAGGGTTCGTAAATGTCTTCTGAATATTAATAGTTAAAGAACCCCACATTATAATTCAACAAACTCATTGCTTTATTAATACAAGGCCTAAACCTCTTTACACATCCTTGTTTGAAACACAAAAGACCTATGTGCCAGTGCGGAGAACTGTTATCATACAGTGTAGCACGGTTCTTTACCCATAATGCACCCTGACATGATTTGGCTCTTATCCATTTTTTTCACGTCCTGCCGTTTTAATTAAAAAGCCATTGTCCCCCCTTGTACAAAGATTACATTTTTATGGGTCTATTTATAGAAATGACTGCATGCTACAAGGATGTCTAATTGGGGCAGGGCGCACACAGATAGTCAGGAGCTCTTGTGGTGGAGCCGATGCTGTAACCGTCCACTGTCCTTCTGCAGAAAGCGAGCCTCGAGACGCTGGGACGGACACCAAGAGCTCCGGCATCATCCGCCTGCACACCATCAAGCAGATAATCGACAGAGTGAGTGTGTTTTGGAGTCTGTACTCAAGAAATACTACAACACGTCTACAGCAGCTGGACTGTTTTGTTATGATCATGGACACTGTGTACAGCTTATAGTGTTTATTTGTTGATCACTGCTGCCACCTAGTGTACATCTTAATTCAACTCAAGTTTGAGTGTAGCAATTGTATTTTTGTAACAGCGGTTGGAGCCATTGGTTCATAGGGAGTGGAATGAGCATTGTCCATGAATGTTAAATATCCCTAAATGTCCTGGATCATCACTGTCATTAGACCCTCATACATCTGCAAAGGACGGGTCTTAGAACAGCAAGGGGGACTTGCAAATGTAAGAGGGTAAAAAGTGGGAAAAAGTGTGAAAACTCAGGCAGACCCACAATGAGAGAGGGATCCGCGTCCATACAATACTTCACTATTTCCAAATGAGGCATCTGTAAACCTTGGGTACATATCTCACAAAACACAACAAATGTAACAAAATACATGTAACTTGTAGCTTTTTCAGACACTAAAGTTAAAAAGAGAAGTCCCCCCCTCACTCCACTATCGGCTCTCTGCCCAAAGCATCAAATTGTGACTCACAGGACGCTTTAAGTATGCAAAAGACAACATGTTTTTTCTAATGAGATGAAGGCGGCTTTAATGCGCACATTGCACAGATTTAAAACATTCAGCAAATGCATTCATGCAGATGTAGGTAACTGCTCGCTAATGCACTATACAAGCTTTTTTGTCTTAATGATTTCTCCCTTGTGATTTCAGGATAAACATGCGGTTCTGGACATCACTCCTAACGCAGTTGACCGCCTGAATTATGCCCAGTGGTATCCCATAGTTGTGTTTCTGAACCCAGACACTAAACAGGGCGTTAAAACCATGAGGACTCGCCTCTCTCCCGAGTCGAGGAAGAGCGCACGGAAACTGTACGAACGAGCTCTGAAGTTACGGAAGAATAATCATCACCTTTTCACCAGTAAGTTCACAGACAGGGAGGTAATGATGCGTTTGATTAATGGTCTCTTCTCTCTCATGCATTGCTGTCTTCTGTGTCACATATTGGTCAGACTGCCTCAGGGCGGTTCTGACTGAATATATCTTCACAAATGAATAATTGGAATTTAAACTCATGTGCTCTCTGTCCAGCGACCATTAACTTAAACAATATGAACGACGGCTGGTTTGGAGCTCTCAAAGAAATAATCCAGCAGCAGCAGAACCAGCTGGTCTGGGTCTCTGAGGGCAAGGTAAACTCCTGGTCACTGTGCTAATGGTGGCGCCTATAGATTAATGCGGATAATGACTTGTACTGTTTTTCAGGCGGACGGAGCAGGGGACGATGATCTTGATATCCATGACGACCGGCTGTCGTACCTGTCTGCCCCGGGCAGCGAGTACTCCATGTACAGCACCGACAGCCGCCACACGTCCGACTACGAAGACACGGACACCGAGGGCGGAGCCTACACTGACCAGGAGCTGGACGAGACGCTGAACGATGACGTGGGCCCTCTAGCCGAATCCGCCATCACGCGCTCCTCTGAGCCGGTGCGAGACGAGCCGCCTGTGATCCAGGAGCCCCAGGCGTACGCCAGCTTCCCCCTCCAGCCAGACGCCCTGAACCGCATCGACCCGGCCGGGTTCAAGGCACCAGCGCCGCAGCAGGTAGCGTTTCTGAGGCCTGTGCGCCTCCCCTGTTGTCTAGAGGACGTGGTGTGCGTTAGGAGGGTCTTCTGGAGGCGCTATTAAAGCCATACTCTTAATCTACTGCTATTTACCTCTATAAGCTATTCCAAACCTCTGTGACCAACTATTGCCATTATAATATGCAATATCTATATTTAATATTTATTTCATATAAACTATTTATATATTTATCAAATTATCAAATCTATACTGTGAACTTTTGTGGTTTGATGTCTGTCAGTGAGAGTGTTTTTTATTTCCTAAAAGTGTAACTGTTATTATTGTATTGTATTACCGCAAGTTGTCTTATCGCCACGACTGTTGCTAAGTGCGAAAGAAATCTGTTTCTCAAGTGTCTGTTCAAGTGCCCATGTGAACCTCAGACTTTAAGGACTTGAAACCTGAAGTGTGATGTGCATGTTCAATGCAAGTGTAACCAGTGTTACTGTGAAATGTATTTACCAAATCTACTTAATTGGCTGTTGTCATACCAAAAGAGCTAATCTCGTGGTTTCTGGAATGTCAAAGAAAGGAATTAAATGTATTGTAACCACAGTATTAAATCCAAACAGTATACCCTATGTACATACATTTGTCCTGTTGCTAATTCTTTACATTTTGAGTTTTTTGAACACACAATAGCCACTGATCTAATGCGGTTGTTATATTTCTGAACTGCACCACAGCGTCTCAGCGCTTGTTATTTAACCTTTCTGAACCACTTCACAGAAAGCAGAGGCCGCCGTCCCTAGCCTCCCTCAGCAGCCTGAGACCGCGCCCCCTGCTGTTGATGTTACTGTAAAAACTATAGGGGTTGTGAGCACAGACCAGGCTCCTGCAGCTCCTCTCAGCCAGCACAGCCCAGAGGCAGGCTCTCTTAGGAGGCCCACCCCCGAGCTAGCGCCCCCTGCTGTCCCTCCAGAGCCTCTGCAGCCTGAACTCAGTTCTGACCCAAAGGTATCTGACTGAAGACGTGAAGGTCCCTGCGTTGACTCTCTGCTGCTGCCTGCCTACTGCTCCTGCTTCTGTCTCTTCTGCTGCATGCGGCTGACCACAAGATTCTGTGTGGGTGTGTGTGCGCGCGCTTGCGCGTTGTGAGTGTGTGTGTGAGTGTGCACGTACGTCGGTAAACAACAGCGGAGCTGCCTGCTGTACCAGTCCCTGTTGCTTATCCTCTTTGCATGCCCGCGATGTGTTTGACCCTGTTAACCATGAGGTGAATGTGTGCTAATGTTATATTATTATATTATAAGTGTTTCATTTCTTTGTAAAAGTACCCATTAAACCTTCGTCTCTCTGCAACAGGGTGAAGTCTCCTGTCTAAGATGAGATGGATCTTTAATGTATACTTACCGTCGTGCATATATATTTTTAAAATGGATGTGCTTGTAATGTAAAGAGAAAAAAATATCATTTGAAGTTATATTAATAGTTCCAAAATAATGGGACGTTTGTCATTGTCATTGTGCAGCACTAGTTTAGCACTTTCCCTTAGTTTGCTCATACAGAGATTCAGTCACAATGAATGACAGATCCGTCCTGTTATGTTGAATCAACTGCTTTACTTTGTTTTCTTCGTGTTGCATTGTGCCAAGATGAGACTTCAAGTAATGTGCTGCGTCAACAATAACTCGCTCACTCTCAGTTTCTCTATTTCAGGTCTTTCCTATCGCATCTTTTGTGCACTTAATTTTTCAAACTTTAATGCTCCTTTTTCGCATTTGCGTCTGGTTTGTTTGCATATTTCTAGAGTTTCATTTGAAGTTGTAGACACATTTTGACTCACTTTTTTATCTTGTATTTTGATAGACGACAGTGAAAGATCCGTATAGTGACAACATGGGACGTGGGAGTCAAGGCATGAAACCTGCGAGCTACAGCTCCCCTCAGGGCTACCACCTCGACCAGCCTTACAGAGATTATGACCACCCGCCCAGTCGCTATGACGCAGGAGGGGGCTACACTGAGCCAAAGTACAAGAACTATGATGCACCATATGAGAACAACGTGCCTCATTACGACCAGCAGCAGTGGAACCCTTACTCTAACTCCCAGAGCTTTGACCGCTTGCCCTACGCTGACGAGCCCATCGACCAGTACACCCCCCCAATCCGCTACGATGAGCCCCCTCCTCCACAGCCTTACGACGGGCGGCCTCGCTATGGCAAACCCACCGGACCTCCACCTGTGCGCTTCAACGAAGCTCCTCTTGCATCCCACGAGGTGCACTACGACCCAGACCCTCAGCTGAACTCTTACCCCTCGGCCCGCTCCCCAGAGCCCGCCTCACAAAGACACAACTATAACCAGCCGCAGCAGAAAAGCTTCAAACCGCAGTCGTATGACAGCTCTCCAGTGAACTCCAGCCCCACACCCCCCCTGAAGATTGAGAGCCCCTCACCGGCTCCTGTGGAGACCCCTAAACCCGCATTCACCAGAGATGGCAGACCAGAGGAAGACCCAGCCCTGAAACACCAGTCTGTCCTGACCAGAGTCAAGATGTTTGAGAACAAGCGCTCTGTGTCTGTGGACCGGGTCAGAGATGCAGCAGAGCCAGTTGCCAATAAGGTAAAACTCCTACTGTTCCAACACACTGTAAAGTGAATATTTACATAAATGTATTCCTCAGACTGCTGGAGTCATCCCCAAAGCCAACTCTTTGAGTAACCTGGACCAAGACAAGCCCTACAGGTATGAGAACTGTCACATTTAATAACTTTCTTAAGATCTCTTTTCTCATGGGCTTCATCCTTGTCCTTCACCTAGAGCACCAGAGCCACAGAAGCCTCAATCTCAAGTCGATAACATTGTCCGATCCAACCATTACAATCCTGATGAGGACGAGGACTACTATAGAAAACAGCTGTCTTACTTCGACAGACTTCAGACTGGTCCCAGTAAACCACAAGCACAAACAAACAACTTTTCAAGGTGAATTATCCACAAGTATTTGATATATACTATTAACGTGAGGATATTCTGTTATTCATATTTTATTGTTATGTTTTTTTCAGGACTGAATCGGTAGAAAAGAGATATGACTCAGTCCCCCAGGTGACTCCTTTGTTGCCACCAGCCACACTGCCCAAACCTGCACCAGAAGGCAAGTCTCTTCTAACAACATTACAATCTTTCATACATATTTAGGCAGCAACATTGATTAAATTAAATGACTGATTTTTGAATCAAATCAAACAGTGATATTTAGTCTCTGCTCGTTCTAAAATAAACTGATTTGTGTTCAACCGTTCATATTCCAGGATTCTCAAATCTGTATTGATAGCAAATTGAATCTAGAGTTTGCAACATAAATAGCATATCTTATCTCAAGTGTTGTGATATTTGAACCCACAGTGAAGCCAGCTGCCGGCAGAGAGGACACGGTGCAGACTAACTTCTTGCCTCATAAGAGTTTCCCAGAGAAGTCCCCTGTCAACGGCACAAGTGACCAGCACACAAAAACAGCCTCGAGCTCCGCCGCACCAGCCTCCAGCTACAACCGCTACGTGCCCAAGCCTTACACCACCTCAGCCAGGCCTTTCGAACGCAAGTTTGACAGCCCCAAGTTCAACCACAACCTCCTGCCCAACGACAAGCTCGACATCACTTCCAAGGTGAGGCTTTAAAATTGTATTATTACCCTGAAGCTATCAATCATTTAGGAGCCAAAGCAGCAGAATTTCTATGGATCTGGCTTCCCACAAACAGTTCCATGCATATTTCTTCTTTCTTTTTTTTCTGATTCTAGTTTTCCTCTACCTCTAATGAAGTTTCAGGACATTTAACCATTTTTCCTGGACTTATACATGTCCTAGTCCAATTTCCCCCAAAATTAGGCCATTAAGGTTTCATTTAGTGTAAGCTTGTGGTTCTCAAAATCTCAAGAGTCGGTGGTGATAACATTACAAACATCTCTATCATTGTCTTTTTTTTTTTTTAAACAGGTCCAGAGCACAAGTCCAATAAAACCTCAGATTTCACCACAGCCTCACAACACGGATCACGACAGCGGCGTGGACACGTTCACTCGCACCATCGACCACCGCCCCAAATACCTGCAAAACGATGTCAATGCTGTGCCCAAAGCCATCCCCGTCAGGTATTTTTAGATACTCAAAAAACACGCACTGCTTATTTTGAAATGATGGGATATTTGTGCTTTGATTGACCCTTAAACATCATCTTCAGAATGTTTACTGTGGAAATCAATCTAGAAAACATGTGGAAAATGGTATAAAAAAGTAGTAGTAGTAGTAGTCTTAAAGGCACACAGTCATTTACTGAAGAAATGTACACAATGGAGGCAAGAAATGTAGAAAAAGGCATTAAATATGGTGTCATAATCTTAAGAATTCGTCAACAACTTTGGAAGCAGAGCATTTAGACTGAAGCGGCAGGGGAAAGTTTTAATGAGAGATCAATGCTGTAACTTGGTTTATATCTAAGAATCTATATGCGTCCTTTAATGTTTACATATGGTAGAATAATTCTCATCTCCAGAAACATGTCTGTCTTGCCCACAGCAATAACAAGTGTGAGATATAATAGCTACAGGGAGATATTCTGTTGAACAATCATGAATGAATAGAATGAATATTTGACACCGTTGGCAAAATAACATCAGTGCCGCAAACTGTAGCTTCGGCGGCCTAGACTCCCAGACAATGATGTGTTTTGATTGTGTTATAAGTGTGTGCCACTGCTATTCCCCCGTTATAACTTCTAAATTAAAATAACCAATGATTAATGCATTCTAAAACTGTACGAACTATTTTATTTTTTGAAATCCAGGACCTTTAATTTATTTTGATGCGGAATTCAACCAAACAGAGACTTCGAAGCACGTCCCTGTTTGTTTTGTTTTTTGCCTGTTATGTTCCTTTTATTTGTATTCATTCATGCAGATCTGTGTAGCACTGTATCCCACAGCTAATTTCCCTTGCGACAATAAAGTTGATCTTATCTAATCTTAAATGTGTTCAAATTAAGATGCAATTTGTCTTAGAGAGTTGCCTTTTTTTTATTACTTTTTGCAGTGTGAGTAGGTTCTTTTTTTACTGTGTATTATATTTAAGACTGCACTAAATTCATTTCAACAAAGCGCTCCAATATTAGTCCAGGTGAGGTAGTTCCGGAGCTCTTGATGCGTTTCCCTTCTTCCCTTTCTAACCTGCTGTTGTGTCGATCAGCCCCAGTGCTTTAGACGACGAGGAGGAGGAGGACGAGGGGCACACGGTGGTGGCCACGGCCAGAGGGATCTTCAACAGTAACGGAGGCGTCCTGAGCTCCATCGAGACAGGCGTCAGCATCATTATCCCTCAAGGTGCCATCCCTGACGGTGTGGAGCAGGAAATCTACTTCAAAGTGTGCCGCGACAACAGCATCCTGCCGCCGCTCGACAAAGAGAAAGGTAACGCCACCGAAATAGACACGACAAACGCAGCCGTCACGAGGCTCGCACCGTGAAGGCAGAGCGTTGCATAGTGTAAAAAAGTATTTTATTATAACTATTTTGAGACTGCAGCTTGTGGTTTTGTTTTTATGACAAGTTCTATAAACGCTGGGGTACCTAATGTTTTTATACTTGAATAATACATGTTCAAGCTTTCTGTTTGTCCCGACATAAAGCACCTTAGAGATATGTTGTGAACCATTTTATCTTATTTGAAAACATGTTCTATTTTGGACACGTAAGAACAAGGCCTGTGAGTCACTGATGAGTGAGGGTGGTTCTGGTTTCCACTGTAGAGCTAAAGATGTGACAGGTCCAAAATACATACATGTGAAAGCTAGTATTTTGAGTGGTTTTAAAGTTAGGTACCCCAGATTTAAAGCATAAATATGGTTTTCTAGTATTTCCTGTTTGAAAATGGAGCTGATGAATCATCCTCTTGTGAAACCTTTAGCCTCTGGTATTAAACTATCCTATGCAATACACTATAGTCCATTTTACAAACAAAAGGAGTTGTCTACAACGTGCTGCACTAAGGAAAATACAATAAAACAAATGTCTTCATGAATAAAACTGTGGTTTTTTGTGTCCCAGGGGAGACCCTGCTTAGCCCGCTGGTCATGTGTGGACCCCACGGGCTGAAGTTCCAGAAGCCGGTGGAGCTGCGCTTACCTCACTGTGCGTCTATGACCCCTGATGGTTGGTCTTTTGCTCTAAAATCCTCCGACTCCTCGTCGGGTATGCTGTGCTTTCTGTTCTTCGGGGACGTTTGGGCTGGCTCTGTGATTACCGGAGGGTGTGGGGCACCTCAGCTTTACCTCCAGATTCTATTCTCCACAATCAAATGTTCTCCTTTTTGTCTCTTTGGCCTGAGAATCAATCTGAGGGTAAACCTGACCTTTGTGATTATCCATTGAAATCATTTGCACTAAACCCACACATGATACTTTTGTTCAATCACCCCATTTTACTGTTTCACTATTCCACATGGTTCCCTCCTTTCCTCCTTTTCCTCTTGAACTCATGACTTGAATCCTTGTTTTAACCTGCATGCATAACACCAGCGCTATCATTGATCATGTCGAGTGTAATGATGCATGCTGCCGTGTGGGAAGTGCTTCTTCTAATCACATAGCCGCCCAAATCCTGCCCTGAAGAACGGCTAACATGGTAAAGTCTTCTCTGATTAAGACTGGATTGTTTTTCATAACTGCTTTTCCCCCTTCACTTTCAGAATCCCTAAACTTAACCGAGAATAACTCACTTGATGTTTTTGCTTGTCTAAAATGGCCTTCCTTTCCCCCGTGATTCTGTTGTCAAACGCACTGATCACTTTTGGCCAGTGCTCAGGATTAGTTGTTAATTAGCCTCATTTTTGGCCAGCTGAATGCGACGAGGGCCCGCTGCGCTGTCCTGCTGAATTGTGTGCGGATTATCAAGCAGCTCCTAATCCTCTTATTGTGAAGCAAGGCCACTCTGCTTCGTCTGTGCTGTGCTGCTGCCCCTTTAATGCAAACTCAATATTTTCACTTTTCTAACTCGGGTTTCATTATTAGACATGATGAGTTACAGGCCTCAGGGGATAGGATTGCCGCACATTACGGAGGCAAAGGACTGACAGACATTGGAAAAGGGTTTAAAACTGCACACAGGCACAAGAGGTACACGATATACAGTTCGTTAGAAATTAGATTCAGATTGTTTGCAGTAAAACCTCATTGGAATACTTGTGCAAAAGTACTTCAGTGTGCGCCAGACAAGTATGTCAAATAAATAAGCTAAAATGTACAAGAAACAATTGTAACATAGAAAGTTAAAAGAAATGTGTTTGCTTCAATTAACTGCAACCACTGTTAGAGCTCCCCCTAGAGCCCAGGAAGAAAAATAGACACTACTTTATCAGATATCGATCTCCAGAGCTGATAATGTAGCATGCAAATGTAAAAAGTATATTTTGTCGTCTGTTTAAGGCTTAGGAGGTTCTTTTATGTGAAGCGTCTTTGAGTTCTTGAAAAGCGCTTTATAAAACTGATGTATTATTATTATTATTATTTATTACGACAAAAAATGTAAAGAAGCTAGTGCTGCTTAAATACCTGACATGTTTCGGTGGTATACTGCCGTCTTGGAACACAGTGTCTCAAAGCTTTTCGTCATCTGGAGAAGCCCAAGCTCGCCAAAACAATCACCTGAGATTCAGTCAATGGGACAAAAACACACACATGCACACAAAATATATAAACACCCGAAAAGGCGAAGTAAACTGGAAAAACATGTGGGGTAATTAAGCAGTACTAGCTTCTTTACATTTGTTGTCTTATTAAAAGAACCTCCTAAGCCTTAATGTAGATGATCGCATTCCTGCTTATTAGGTTAATGTAATGTTTTTGTGAACAGTGTAGCGAGAGTAGACACAGGGAAGTGTAGGAAAATATCACAAAAACTTATTTCAATGTGATTAGGGCTGAGTTGAAGCACTTATCACTTTGACTCATCAAGTTTTACGAGGGATGTTTATTGTCAAAATACCAGGACTCAGCTTTGTTTTTCTCCATCAGCAGTTGGTCAAGTGTTACATTACAGCATAGAAACATTAGGCTTTTATGTAGATGGGGCCGTTTATAAACAGGTGCGCTTAATATTCCAGTAAGTACGGTAATCGATTATTAAAATACAGCTAATATAGGAATTTAACCGTTTATACCTTACATAGACTAAAGCAGGCTGAGAAGAGGTTTTTTTTTACTCTAATTCTATAAAAACCACAGAAAGATATTCAACTGTGTTTTCAAAGTATTTTTCTATCTCTATGAAGCTACTCTCCAGGGGCAGCACTTGAGCTTAGTTTTGGTCCAATGTATACCAAAAGAATCCCAATTATCACTGAGCTTTTATGATTCAAACAATAATCGATTATAAAAATATTTGTTAATCACAGCCCTATTTTTCTGTTATTATAGAGGACAGGACTTAAGAGTGGACCATGCTCAAAGATCGGACTAAAACTTAAATAATCACAATTGAACATGGACCGTTCACTGTTCGAGGTTTAATGAATCAATCAATCAACTGTTATTTGTAGAGCGCCTTTCCTACACAAGGCAACACAAAGCGCCACACAACCCATATCACATCAGGCATAAATCATAGACATTAAAATCTGCATCAACATTAAAAATACAATTAGAATCCCAAAGGGCAATTAAAACACGCAATGAGATCAAGTAATTAAAAAAATTAAAACATAAAAATCACACATGGGATTAAAATCATTGTGCGCCTAAAAGAGTAAAGATAAAATCAGTAAAAATAAAATCAATCAGATGAAACATAAGGAAAGCAGAGTGATACACACATTTCCTTTCAAAATAAATCCTTTAAATCTGCTTTAGTCGCTCTATGCTCTCATATTAAGGCTGAGGAAGAAAAGAGGCCATACAGTGATATTTCTGCAATTCTAAACCCCAAATGTTGAGGCTCTATAATCATTATCTATTTTGAAACCTTTTTAATAACTTGTTTTTTGAAAATAAACGGCCTTTTTTCAACACAAAAAAACCTAACCCCTTTTGTTTTATATTATATTTTTTCATAATTTCACAATTTGCCATCTCTATTTCTACCTATTCAGGAAAGATTGAACTCTTTTCTTATCCATAAATATGTGCGTTGGTTCTTGTACTGTAGCAAAAGCACTTTGGTACAGTACTGTGAATTAGAGTGTGAGTAAACCTGAACATAGACAGAATAGTTGTGATAATCAGAATAATCAAAATGTACCTTTTACAAATATGTGTGTGTGCAAACTTGAATTCTATGCTGTCATTGTAATGTATACTGTATGTCATAACATCTTTTCTCCAACGCTTAATCCTCAGGTGATCCAAAGAGCTGGCAGAACAAGGCTCTCCCCGGGGACCCCAACTATCTAGTGGGGGCCAACTGTGTGTCTGTGCTCATTGATCACTTTTAGAGAAAAAAAAAACCACACACAGCAGCCCAGACTGGAGTATCTGACGCGATCCACTCCTCACAGCGAGCAAAAGCGTTTGTGGAAGGCGAATTTTTTGGAAGAAACCCTTTAAGTGCCATTTTACTGCGACGACGGCACTGATTACGAACACTTGAGAACTCTTTTCTTTTTGTGGTGCAAAACTTCTCCCCCCTGCCCCCCCATCGGACGCGTCGATGTGAAAACTGTTGCATGCCCACGTCACGGAATTTCACTACACGCAACGTTTTTTAAGACTGGTTTTGTTCGTGATATTACACCAGCGTCAGAAAAAGAAGCTGGAGAAAGAGTAGCTGTGTTCATACTCTATACACGTAAACGTAGAGAAACTGTTCTTCACTTCCCGGTCAATATATACCGTGATTATAATTGACTGAATAAACGCGTATCTCTTTGTTCTTTAACATCGAGCCGGTTTTTATTGAAGAGATGATGATTGCTGTTGGAAGTCACTTTTTGTGTTCTCGTCCGAAGGATTGTTATTATGCCAGACGTGCGTTTTTTTCCAAGAGGCACTTTTAAATAAATGAAAAAAATAAAATTGCTCTTCCAATACTTCCCGCTGTGAAAACATTTGCGTTTTCCAGCCTGAGGGAGATCTATGCATGTTCTGTGCTCAGGTCACAATGTCCCAGTTTCATATTTTCATTTTTTTTTTCCTTCCTTTTTTTACGCACTCTAAACACGAGAAGCAGCGATGCCTTATCTGCAGATTATTCACTTTCAATAAAAAAAAATATAAGTTATGAAAATCTGTCTTTGTTGCCATTTGAAAAACCCACTGTATAAATGATTATGGGTTCTGCACGTTTAACCGACGACTAAAGGTTTTCTTCTTTTCTGCTATGCATTACTTACCGTGACAGAAAAGAGGCGTTTGTAAATATACCTAGCATATTGCCTTGTTTCTTTTTAGTTTGTAAATGAACTTTTTTTTTTGTATCGTCTTTCTTTTTTGTATAAAATATAGACAAAACATGTTTTAAAAAAGTGGAAAGAAAATTCAGACGTGGATTTGTTTGTCTTCTGGAAAAACACGGAGCCTTGAACTTATATAGTATGTGTAACAACAAGACGTTTTCTACATTCACAATATACCGGAGTCGGATCAGGAAGCACTCGGGCAAAAACCGCATTTAAAACATGTTGGAAGGGTGTGTCCCCGCAGCTCTTTGTGATACGGATGCTGTATCGTGTGCCCTTAAATGTATTTTTGTACTAATAGACGATATATATTACGTAAGGCACACCGGTTGGGTTTCTTTTCTAGATTTAACACAGCTTTAATTGGACAATAGATATTCACGTGTGGCTGACGTTTTCTTTCCTCTCTGCAACACAATTTTCAGTATACCACTGTATTAATAAATAAATCATTTTTAAAGTATTTTTTTGTGTTTGTATCATTAATGAGATGGTTAAATATCGGTGGCAAGTCATTTATATGTTTGACGAGGGATATAATAACTATTTATGAGGATAATTGCGACATAATCGGGGGCGACAGTAGCTCAGTTGGTAGAGCATTGGCCTTAAGGCCAGAAGGTCGTGGGTTCAATTCCCACCTCTGCACCTTCTCCATCGACTCCCACTGATGACTGCTGTCGTTGTGTCCTTGGGCAAGACACTTAACCCCACTTTGCCCAAAGCCCCCACTAAAAGATCAAGGCTATGCTCACACTCAGAGAGCAGCCGTCCTCCTGTGGACTCACCACCTGCAGAGGGTCAGTGAGGGGCTGGTGCTATGAGACTTGGGTGGCATCTCTGATTGCCACCCCCCTGACCCAGAAATGGATTAAAGGGTAGAAAATGGATGGATGGATGGATTGCGACATAATCAAACGGACATCTCAATTAGAATTAGTTTTATTGCCATTGTAAGTAACAGGAAGTCACACACTCGGAATTTGCTTTTGTATGTGGTGCAATTAAGTGAAAATGTATAATATAAAGTCATGCATACCAAATCTTGCTTAAAATGATACATTCGAATGGTGTATTAATATAGTAAACATTTGCCTACGGTCCATTCCAGTGCTTTGCAATTTTAGACTTTTTTCCTTTCTCTGTTTCAATTTTATTTTAAAATAAATCGCTCATGCACTCACACGCACTCAGGTCCAGGACATAAAATGACAATATAAATTTGTACAAATGGAGGGTCATTCCAATAGCTCTGCCCCACATGTTGGTAGTAAGATAATAGAACCTTTATTTGTCACACAGTGGGGAAATTTCAATGTTGCAGCGCACAGACAGGACAGTAGTGAGAGCGCACAACATTAGTAGCTGCTTTGTTTCATAGCATGCTGTAAATGCTTCTTTAGTATTGTGGATACATGCTGTGATAGACTTGATGAGATGAGGTCCCTAAAGGCTTTTTAGAGTCTGAACTGTCCTCAGCATGTGAAGCGTCATGTGCATTAATGTAAGACATCAAGACATCACATGCTGATCTTGTGGTGAAACTATTGAAACACTTATTATGTGTTAGACACTCATTATAGGCAGTGCATTTATTACAGGACTACTCAGTAGTTTTTAAATGTGTGCAATATTAGTAGGAAATGAACCCAGTTTTGTGTTGGTTAAAGCTGGGAAACCTAACTATTTGTTTCATAAAAAGCACATGTAGTTTGTCCCAAAAGTAAGACTCTTGTACAAGTGAAACAAAATTTTGAACAAATCAGTTCACAGCACGCTGAAAGATCTAGAGATTTGACAAGCCAAAATATACAAGCAAGTGAAGACCATAGAACCTCATTGTTTTAGTGCACGGATGTAGTGGCATGGATTTTATTACATATTTTCATTAATGTTCATTGAAATTGAGGGCCCAAGCTTTAACAATTCAGATTTCAAACTTATAATTGAGTGAAAGTGTTCTCCTTACTCTTCAATCCCGTATGGATCTTGTAATACAATTCATTTCAAAACTCATTCAGAAGCACGTATTTGCAATCTTCAGAGCGTTCATTTTCCTCATCCTTGGAAATGATTCCGTTTGCACAAGTCATTGCACAACTCTTTATCACCAGCAGAGGGCGTAACGTCTCCCTGTATGAATTTGGTGCAGAATCTAAGATAAAAATCACGTGCAGTGTTGTGTTGGTTGAAATTAAGAGACATACATCTCCACAATGGAACGCTTTGCAACCCCACATCTCAACAATATAATCACTGACGTCTTTGCAGTCCTCCATAGTCCTCTTCCCAATCTCATATTATTGATACACAGCTTTGAATGCAGCACGAATAGACAAGAATACAAAGTTAATCATAATAGTTGATCAGAATGCAACCACTGCACACATTTGTAGACTCAATATGGTTTGATTTATTTGATTTATTTCAAGCTTATAAACAGGAATCAAATATGGAATTTACAACAATTAAACAGTATACATTTGGTGTGAGACATACATACGTGCAAACATTCATACAAACATTTATGCGTTTCCTTTTTCACTCCAGTCAAAGCTCAAAAAGGAGTGCGAAAGAGTCAAACTTAAGCCCACCTCATATACCTAAATTAACCTTATGTTATATGTTGTATATATTGCCTATATGGATATAATCAAGTATATGCACCATGATATCTGAAGCGTGCTGGTGCTTGACTGCATTGTTACCGTGGGGCCAACACACGCTCCTTTACTGATGATGTATGAGCAAAGAAAACGTCCTGATGCCCGTATAACGTCAATCCTTTGTGCCCGCGCCAAACGACACGGACGCAGCATCCTTCCTCGCATCCTCTCCCCCCTCTCACCCTCTCCCCCCTCTCACATCACACCAGCAGCACTACATCATCAGTGGGGGCAACAAATCACACGCTGCTTTATTCTGATGCTGGTGATAGTAGACAGCCCACCCCCCTCTGCCTCTCCTCATAGTAGCGCGGCTCTTCGCCATAGACAGACGCGTGCGTAAGTGTGTGTGTGCGTGAGTGTGTGTGTATGCGTGCCTTTCACCTGACGCACTCCAGCCTCCATCGCCACATCGCAGCGTTGTGTTGGACCTTTTTTCGTTGTTATTGTTGCAAGAAAGCTCTTTAAGTCACCGGTGTGGTTTTTCTCACCTTTGCGCGCTGCTGTGGGAATAATCTGCAGAGCGCGACAATGGTGCAAGAGCGCAACGCGAGAGGATGCGCCTTTTGAGGACTTTTTTGAGGCATGGGTTTTCTCTTGGTGAGCCGTGCAAGAACTTATCGAGCTGATTTGGATTCGTGTTCAGCTGAAGACCTGGCTGTGAGCTGGTGATGCCCTCTTGGACGCGTTGATTCTGTGAAATAAATAAAAACTCGCTGTTGGATGTAATTTGTCTTGTGCGCAAAAGTGACAATGCCACTCAACGCTCTCCCCCGCGGAGGTAGAAGCAGCATGGCCGGGTTGGGGTTGATGGGAGTCGGTTCAGGTGTCGGTAGTGGTCCTGGATCCCTGAGTCCTGCCTCCCTGTCCCGTAGTCTGTCCCGGCTGAGGGAGTACCGCACACGCACTCGGATCATGCTGGCTCTTGGAGTGTCTCAAATGGTTTTGGGCAGTCTGATCTTGGCTGTCAGCTTCGCAGCGCTGGCCCTGACCACGTCCCCCCGCGTCCGCCACTCCTGTCCCTTCTGGGCTGGGTTTTCGGTGAGTAGCAAGCACCTATTGATATAAGTCTGAAGTGCACTGCGTTGTGGTTTAACAGCGTTTGAGATCAAATTAAAGTGAAAACATTTCTTTCATTTTCAGGATTTAAGTCGGTAGTTTGAATATGGTTCACTTCTAAAAACCCAAATCATGATTCAAGATGGACCAAACTATCTTAATCTGAATAAATCTGAATAAAAGATAATATGAGCATAAGGCTGTGATTCAACCAATGGTAAACACAAATTATTGGATTAGGAGCTCCATTTAACATCTCAATACTAGATAGATTTGTCTATTCTCTCCTAAGTACCACAGCCAACCACATAAAACATAGTTCAAGTTCCAACCTCATGCCTTTTATTTGCCTCAGAGCAGTGGGAATGAGCCTGATTAAACCTCAACATAATTAACGCCGGGGTACCTAATTTTCAAATCACACAAACTTGGAGATCCATGGTTCCTCGCTCTCAAAACAGTTTGTACTTCTTTTGGTTTTCGCATGCATGTATTTTGGCTGTGGTCACATCTTTCGATCATCTTTTTCAGACAGACAAGTGAAAAAGAGAAGATAACCCACTGAGTCAATCAGTTCTCAGCCCAAAGCGTCAAATAGTGACTCACAGGGCTCATTCTTACAGTTATGCAGAATATGAAATGATTTCTGATAAGAAGATAATAGCATGTTGTTTTCTGATTAATTCACAACATTGATATTTTATAACACTTGTATTAATGTTAGGTACCACAGCTTTAAGATCCAGTTAAGACCGATCCAAAGCCATACTGAGAAATTAGACTTTTCTTATCTGTCCACTACATCAGAATCAGAATCCTTTTTATTGCCATGTGAGTAACAGGAAGTCACAAACTAGAAAATTGCTTTGGCTCTCGGTGCAAACAAGTTAAAGCAGAAAAAAATCAAAAAGGCATGCATCAATAAAAATCTACATAACTACTTACATTACAGTATAAACTCTATAAACTCAATAAAAAGAAACGTAACACAGCTAGACCCCTGAAGTTTTCACTGCTGGTTGTTTCATCTGCAAGTAAGAAAATCCATGCAAGAAGAAGTGGATTCAAATGGAGTGGAAAGAAATATATGAGAAATCTTTGGCCGTTGTATTGCACTGAGTTGAATGAGATATCTCTCCAACACCATGCCACAAGGTTCTTTACAAAAGCAACAATTTCACACAAAAAGCCACACATTTCAGTGAATGTGACATCAGTTGGCGGCAGAAGCTCTGTTGGTAGAGTGTATGTCCTCTGAACTGAAGGTTATTGGTTCAAATCCTGCTCTTGACATAGACATTATTGATTGAGCGGTCATATTGACTTGACCCGCAGATTGGCAGGTGTGGAACCAGCTCCCATTAGTGATCGCTGCAGTGTGATTTGGCAAGTCCAGTCTGAAGCTGAAGACATGAGGAAATGGGTGGAGTCTGGCGTGCTCCTGCTTGTCTGCAGTAAAAACCTGGAACCAGTTTGACACACATGATTATTTTTTCAATGTTTTTATTTTTCGTTTTTTTTTATTTTTTATGAAGCAGACAAAATGTGACGCCCTGAAACTTTATACGAGATATAGGACTAATAACATTACTAACAGAAATTTAAAAATATAGATTAGAATATTTTTGGGGGAAAACCAGATACTTTGGGGTCTAAAGAGTTTATATTTTAGTGAAAAAACCTGACATATGCATTTTAATAATAATAATAATAATACATGTTATTTCTTAGGCGCCTTTCTAGATACTCAATGTTGCCTTATCACAATTAAAAATAAAATGTAGTTAAAATACATGTTAAAATGCAGTTAAAACAGCATGAACAGAGGATTGTGTGGTTATGATGTGAGTAGGCTTGTCTGAACATGAGTTTTGAGGGTACATTTTTAGTGCAAAGTGGATTTGAACATGGACTGGACCAGGACTAAATCTTATAAAGGGGATTCTAAACACAATGGAATAGTGTTTTGCTTATTGTGGTTTTATTGATCACCGCACACTTGTACTTTTCCTCTGTATGTTTTCCATCTTCATCCCGGACACAGCTCCAGCTCCGCTCTCTCACCGTGCGTAGTCTGTCTGCGGCCATTTCTTCACGTGAAAATGTCATGTTTGTTGCGGTAAATATTTATGAACGTGCGCAGTCCCTTGATTTGCTGCCAGAGAACGGGAGCACGTGGGCCATTAATTATAGAGGAGCGGTGGTCTACGGGAGACTGAGTGTGTGGATGGAAGTGTGGGAGGAGCAGGAATGGTTACAGGCAGAAAAACACCAGGTCAAGGAGGCGAAAGGTCTGAGCTTTTTGAACTGCAGCCATTGCCAATTTCCGTCTCTTCTCTGTCTTAGCCCCAATCAGCCTTGTGACCTTTTCCCATTCCAACTGTGGTCCCAGTAATTACTTAAATCAACTATCTCTTAAAATGGGGATTCAGGTATATTTTGACTGTCTTAAAAAACATATTTGCCAGTGTCCTGTTTCTCAAAGATGATTTTTTTTTCCATTTGTAAATAATACGTTTTTTTGACCTATGACCCTGTAGTATCATCTAAATTAGGTATTTTTCATTTAATATATATATTTAAAACAGTAATATGTTTCTACCTCCCCCTGGAATAAGCCCCAACAGTAAGAGTAGCTGGAGGAGAATATTTAAGCCAATGGTGAGGGGCCTCAGCTTTTTATCATTTGAATTCATTGCGTCCAATCAGGAAGCTGTGGGGGCGGGTCTAACTTGCATTCGATAAGTGTCTCTCTTTTGTCTTTCCTTACAATTTGAAAGGGAACTGACCTTTTCACTTTGAAAACAAGAAATTCAAATTGTTGTCAGATTGGAAAAATATGTTTTGAGGCCAACAAGATTTCGGACTTACTTTTTGTTGTTTTGCCCTTTGTCAGGTTTTGTTAGAGAATGGACACTCCCAGTTTATTCCTCAGATTCATACAAAACCATTGATTTGCCCCAGCTGTGACCTACAGTGGAGGAAAACAGTTATTTGTTCAGCTAAACAAAAAGGAAACTTGCAAGTTGGCCCATGGAAGAGGTGAATGAGCTTAAAATAATTTTCCTACTACCATTGTTGATATTTATTGAGGAATTTGTGTCTTTTATGGTATTTTCTATGTTCCGATTATGCCAGCAGCTGCTTTTGAGTTATGCTGAGCAGACTGCAAAGGGAAGAGTCCGAGTGCCTGCATGGATTCCTTATGTTATTGTGGATTCTCAAGAGCCTCCTCTCCCCGTCCACAGACGCCCTGAGATGAAGTGGTCAATCCACTATAGAAATGCTTTCGAAGGCACTCATGCAGAAAAATAAGTCTTCGCAAATATATATATAAAAACTGTCTTATATCTGTAGTCTATATACTGTAACTGTGGACTGTATTATGTTGTTGCTTATCTGGTTTTCATTCTTGTCCCTGTGCTGCTCTCTACAAGATCATGGTCATAGTATAGTTTTGTGTACTTGTTGATATAATGTTGAAAAATGTAGCTGGCTTCCCATTGTATCATTGTTGGCGTGCATACTGTATTCCAACGTATGTATTTAATATTTTGGGTTATTTTTGTGTATTGTTTGTGTCTTTTATGTGCACAGGGCGTCTTTATAATTGAGAAAATATGAAAAGCCAAACATGATCATAATAACAGAGAAATTGTATATATCTACTGTTATTATAGACTTTGATCCATCTTGTTTGAGCGCTATTTGTATTTCTACTTAATCCTACCATTAGCAACATAGTATTTTTTTAATACGAAATTACAGACAATATTTTAGATCACAATTATTCCGGGCTAAATTAGCGTGGGGAAAACGGTTGGGTAAACTGAGATATCTATTTTACAAGTTAATAGCAGTGGTTTATATTTCCATGTGATCTTTACGTTTGATCATCGAAGCCATTCTAAAACTAAAACAAAAACATGGTTCAGTAGTTTTTAAATACTCTCATTCTTTATTGACCTTTCCTAAAAGTTATTCTAAAGATGTGTTCTGTGCTGCATTTTTCTCTTCAAAGCCAAAACACCCTTGAGCAAGGTTATATTGGATAGTTGGTCAGCGACTGTTTCTCTCATCTATCTCTTTGTTTGCACTTAACCAAATAAGCCTTTTTGTCTCACACACAAAATCACTTGCTGAAATCCCAAGGGACCAAATTCAATCTTTGCAGCCCTGTTTTCAGTTTCCACATACTATATGCCCCTTTCTCCTTTAGCTCCAAAGAAATCCATTGATTTTCTTTCTCCTCCTCCACCGCCTCTGCTCCTACTACCGCGGGTATGTGGCAAATGGCGCTTTTCAACAACTTGCATTATTTATCTTTCTGTTGCCAAATGGTGCAGAGCCGTGTACCGACGATGCATACAGCCGGCCCTGTTTAGTGCGGATTGGCAAAACTGTCAGAATCTGTCCTTGTCACCACAAAACTCATCACAATGTGCCTAAAAGTGCATGAAACGCAGTTAGTATTGAGCGTTTTTGGCTTTGGCTTCTGCTTTCGGGCCGACCGAGCTGAACTAATAGGAGCATGACAACCAGCTCTCGACCTGTTTCCACCTCTGGGTTTGATGTGTGTGCGTGTATGAGAGTTTGTGTGTGTGTCAGTGTCAGTGGGACGTCCCGGAGGAGATCTGCCTGATGAGCTGCTTTGTGGGAGCTTCGTCAGGTCGCTGTGAAGAGAAGGCGTCATTAAACTATTCCACAGAGGAAAAGGCAGGAGTCAGAGCCCACACGCAGAGCTTTGGTGTGTTTCTGCTAGAGGTGCTGTAGAAAAGAATTATGGCAAGCTTTGTAAATTGCAAAAACTTAAATAAAAAATGAAATAAAAACAACATTAATAGCGGTAATAGTGAGAGGGGCCCTCACTCTAATCAAAGATAGAGATTTCAAGACTTCTTTCCTTATTATGCTGGAGAGTTGGAGATTTTATTAGGCTCAAGCCCCTTCAGAAATGGATTAAGGGGTAGAAAATAGATGGATGGATCAAAAAGTGTTTTAAATTAGAATTCTGAGTCCTGGATCTATACGCTGTCCGTCTGTGAGGAGCGGATCCTTCTCTCAATGTGGACCTCCCCCAGGTTTCTCACTTTTTCCCACTGGGTTTTAGAGTTATGGACCAATTCCGACGTGTTCTATATTATTTGTGTTTGAATTGTTTGATTCTCTGATCTGTGTTGGCAAATGTAACGATTTTGTAAAGTCCCCTGAGGTAACTACTGTTGTGATTTAGGGCTATACAAGAATACATTGAATTGAATTGAAGTGAATTGAATGTTAATGTAAAATTTCTAAAGGCATGGGCTGAACAAGACCCTACATGCATTGGACTCCCACACATCGTATTATGTGGCCACACATTCAATTTGGTAAAAGCCTCAACCACAAGATCAATGTGGTATGTCCTTTGCATTATGTTGTCTTTGTGTCCATGCTTCTAAGGCTATTTACTCCTCACGGAAACTTTCACAAAGGCCACATAAGGAAACTTCTAACCTGAATCCCATCCATTATATCCCTCCACGCTTTTCCCAAACCTCTTCTTGTTGTTTATCGCTTTAGGTTTGACAGCACAACACGTCGCACCCTCTTTAATCTCGATCAAATCTACCTCCTCCTCCTCCTCTTTGGCGCCTTGTAATCATCCCACAACCTGCTTTTTAGCCGCAGTCATTTCCTGTCTGTGTTCCGACCGTGACAAATGGCGGCGTGGTGCATTGTAGCCTGGCTTGTGTTGTTATTGACCACGGCTCTGGCTGAGTTCGGAACGATAAGTGCGTCTCCTCGGGCCGCTGGAGCCAAAAGGTGTGTGCTGCTGCCGTCCAGAGCCGACAAGCAAATGACAAATTAGTGTCCACCTATCGTCCGCAAGTGTCAAACTGGAGCTGTTCCAAGAATCCCTCTCCCGCTGTCATGCAAGATTAAATATGGGAATATGCAAATGCCTCTCGAGGAGTTATTGCTGCATAATTTACAAATTCCAAACAGATTATTGCTGTCTCTAAGTGTGATGTCTCTGTTTTTATTACACCAGGCCTAATCCTCACTCATCATCAGTCTGCCACAAAAGACTTAAAGCTGAGATGGATATAGTTCTCCTCCGTCGTCTGAACTGATAAACGGCACTGGGCACATTTCCACTAGATTTAAGAGAGACTGTGTGGTTTGCAGAAAAGATTCTCATTTGCATAAAGGTTTTTACGTCTCTTATTCCGCTCAAAGACAGATCGTTCAGTGCTCGTGGGATTCAGAGGGAGTAGATTAAGATGTTTCTCGGTGTGGGGTGCCTGCTTGGATGTGTTTGTCTCTTGATATGAAGTATGAAATGGGAATGCTCAAAAAAGGATTAATCTCTTATGACAAAATGGAGAGGTTTCCTTTTGGGTTGTCTCCGTACTGTTGCTGTGTCTTTGCTTTGATCGTTCCACAGTAAGACATTAAAGGTATACTGCGTTGAGATTATATATTGTAATCTCTTCTTTGGCAGTGGTCCCCAACTCCTGGTCAAACTCCTTTTTGTCCCTCATCAACCACTGTATTTCAAGATGGCGCAGTGACATGTAGAGTCCTCCAGCTCTCATGGACCTTTTATAAGTCCAATTCTAAGCCTATAATAACAATTCAAAAACATAGTGGCGGTACATATTCTTGAAAAGGTCACATTTGCTTTGAGTTTACTTGTTTTTTTCATTTGGAGCAGCTGTAAAAATTAGTACCTTTAAACATCTATCTATATTTGCTAAATTACGAGATAAACGAGTGCATACAGGGACCAAAACAGTTACAACAAACAAGAAAGGAGCCGTGGTAAAAAGAACGTGGAGAATGTAAGGTAAGAAATCCGAGGCACTCAATATCTAAACTCTGAACATTATAAAGCGCTTAAGGTGACCTTGGTCTGTAGAAATGCGCTATATCAATAAAAATTACTCACTTACTTACTCTGACTTTAAAATAACACCTTATAAAATGCAAGATCCTCCATAACCTGGCTCCTTCATACCTCACTGACCTCCTCCATGGTCCGTGTCCCACCCACCGCCTCAGATCCACAGACCCCAAGCTCCTCACTCCCATCAGAACAAAGTGCCGATCCTCTGGGACTGAGCCTTTGCTGCAGCTGCCCCCTCACTCTCTGGAACACACTCCCACAACACATCAGGAACTCAGACTCATTTCAGATGTTCAAAAACCACCTGTTCAAAACTGCCTACACGGAACAATATATTTTTTAGTTTTTTATTTTGTTTCTTGTTTCTTATTTGTCCTTCTGTAAAGTGTCTTTGACTGATCCAAAAAGTGCTATATACAGTAAGTATGATGCGTTATTATTATTTAACAGTCCTCTATTCCTACAGCGACATGGCGTCTATTGAATTGGAATTGAGTATTTTTATTTTAAGATCTCGAATCTTGTCCTTTTTTGTTATCCATCTATATTTATTCATTTACTGAGGGTTATATTATGTGTGCTCAGACTATCTTCTCCCCACACGTCTGACCACAAATACTGTACATGCTGTGCCATAATGTATAAATTAGATGCTGATCAGGCTGAAAACCTTTATAAGTTTGTGATAACTGCACTTTTCAGTTGTTATTACTGTTCCATACACCATTCCTAAAGCACATTTTTTCTTGGTGCATAACCAAAACAATTATTTTATTACAAACTACTAGTACCTTTATATGTTTTCATGTTACCCGGCCCTATAAGCAACATGACATATTTAATAAAAGGCATAAACAAGCACAAAATACATTATTCTGTGAAAGTTAACATAGTCCTGCTGCATTTTTAAACCATTGACTGTAAAGCATAATGTGATGTCACCGGTAACGTTTGAGCAGCTCTGACAAGCTCCACGGCAAGTGCTGCAACCTCATGGCCAATCAGGAGCAAGGATGGTTCGTTCTGGTTGAGTTATTAGCTCTAAAGACAAATTCAGGGATAGAAGGTACCTGAGATCTGCCCTCAGATAATACGGGTCATATCTTAATTTACAGAGCGGATATAAGAGCGTGGAGCTTTAACGTTTTAAACCTAGAACGGTGATTACTTTTCCCTGACAGAGAATCGGAGCCAAAGGCAGTTCGAGCCAAATTTGCCCATAAGCACTTCACATACGGCTTCAACGGCTAGCTCTGTCTTTCTCTGTCAGAGTATACTGTACGCCTTCTATTGCACATGTATATATTTCTTACATGGTTTTTTGCTATTGAAGAATGGGAAAAATGCAGGTAATATATTGTTTGTATCAATTGAATGGGGAACCTAATATTAAAGATATGACACTCTGCACTGTAATAGGTTGAAATCAAGGTAGCCCTTGGAATGACGTTATTGTGTTGAACTGACAATAGTAATGAACTCGTTTGGACCATAGACTGTATATGGACACCATAGACTGACTGAGTGCTGACCATGCTGACCAAAAGCGGAAGAGGCAGATCTGAACATAAGCTAGCTGGAGCCAATGCTCTTATATGGGCATTTCTTCTAGACTTGGCACCTTAACAAGGGCAGATGTGTTGGTGAGACAGTTGCTAAGACAAGCCGAAGTTTCCCCCTCTGATAGAAGGCATCTTATCAATCAATCTTTGTATGGCTCATATCTGGATTTACTAAGGCAATATATGAAAATAAAACTAATCTTAGAGAGCTTTAACCACGGACTTTCTAAGCCCAAAATGTTGAGTGCGTCACAAATTTACTGAGAAAGAGGAGTTTACTTTTCAGTGTAAGAGCCAGAGTGAGTGCAAAACTTCACCCATGAGCACCTCCCTAGTGGTCTTCATTGAGCTAGGGGGTTAGCATTGTCCATTTATTTACAGTTTATTTAAACTGTATATAACACTCATACACTTGTTCTTTAGCCGTTGATCTCAGTCTGTTTGTAAAAGCGGGTTTATAGTTTCAAAGACTCCTTCAGTCTGTGCAGGTGGCTCTGTCTCCTAAGAGCTCAGGATCAGCAGGTTTTGTTTGAATGAGACCAAAAAAATAATTCTGCGGTTATCCTGCTGCTGTGTCACAGACAGACGACTGAGAGACTGAGAAATTAGGTCAAAAGATGCAACAAACGTGTTAAACATCTGTTGTTGCTGTTGTTGCTGGAGATTAGATTATTGACATTTATCAACACTTGTGGACATTGGTCATCTGCCTTTTATGGACCAATACCAATGAGTTTTCTGTTTTTTATCGAAGTTATTTATGTAGCCCATATTTACTGTATTTATGTATTTGACCGAGGACATTTCACACAAAGACTATCAAGTCTTTTTTATTTTTTTTATTTTACCAGGTTGGCAAAATGTTCATGCTTGAAATCTCTTAAAGAGCGATTAAACACCAAATCAACTTTTTTCAACTCATAAACTGCATAAATATGCTTATTGTAGTGCTCTCTACATATCCTGGTCATTTTTTTGACATTTTAGTTCAAATTAGATAAAATATCACTTTTGAGCCAAAAAACGTCTGTGTGGCGCCCTCTCAACCTTTTTGGTGGTACTACATTTGAATTTGGTCCTGGCCTCTCCATTGACTCTGAAGTTCTCTATGACATCAGTTGTTTTGTGTGACGTCAGTCTGTCAGAGCCAGTGATATGAACCCATCCAACTCTCACACACGCCCCAGCTGCAGTTTGGAATATTCTGGCGCCATCTAGTGGATTAAAATTAAATTACATGAGTAATTCTGAGATTATTGAGTGTGATTAGGTTCAGATGTGTAGCTTTACAATTATCTTAGTGTGTAAACAAGGGTGGA